CCCCCCTCCCCCCCTCCAATCCCCAAAAGCCCACATAAAAAAAAAAAAGGTTAGGACCCTAGGTGTGTTTTTTTTCTCCAAGTACTTGCGGTTTCCCATTTCCCGTTTTGGCCTTCGTTAGGGCCCTTAGGGGCAATAGGGCCCATAGTACCCCATACTAGCACCCACCAAGCCCCCCCCCCCACCAACCCCCAAAAGCCCACATAAAAAAAATACAAAGGTTAAGACCCTTGGTGTTTTGTTTTTTCCCCAAGCATGTGCGGTTTCCCGTTAGGGCCCTTAGGGGCAATAGGGCCCATAGTACCCCATACTAGCACTCCCCCCCCCCCCCCTCCAACCCCCAAAAGCACACAAAAAAAATACAAAGGTTAGGACCCTTGGTGTTTTATTTTTTTCCAAGCATGTGCGGTTTCCCGTTTCCCGCTTTAGCCTTCGTTAGGGCCCATAGTACCCCATACTAGCACTCACCCCCCGCCTCAACCCCCAAAAGCCCACATAAAAAAAAAAAAAAAGGGTTAAGGACCCTTGGTGTTCTTTTCTCCGAGCATGTGCCGTTTCCCGTTTCCCGCTTTAGCCTTCGTTAGGGCCCTTAGGGGCAATAGGGCCCATAGTACCCCATACTAGCACTCACCATCCTCCCCCCCCACCCCCCAAATCCCCAAAAGCCCACATAGAAAAAAAAAGGTTAGGACCCTTGGTGTTCTTTTTTTTTCCCCAAGTACTTGCGGTTTCCCGTTTCCCGCTTTAGCCTTCGTTAGGGCCGTTAGGGGCAATAGAGCCCATAGTACCCCATACTAGCACTCACCACCCCCCCCAATCCCCAAAAGCCCACGTAAAAAAAAAAAAGGTTAGGACCCTTGGTGTTTGTTTTTTTCCAAGCATGTGCGGTTTAAAAGGGCCTTTACCCGATTCAGGCCTTGTAAAAGTAAAGCAGCGTGAAGGGGTATCTCGCCAGGACTCAGGAAACGTGAAAGCAGATCAAAGGTCAGGTTCTCTGGTCAAAGGGCACTTCCTAAACTAAAGCAAAGGTTATTGCT